GTTTCTACAACAGGTTATATGTAATCAGAATCAGAAAAGAGCCGAAGACAGCTTAATGTTTAACAAATGACATGTCATGTAAGCATTGTTATTCTTAAATGGCTTGAATGTTAACTTTAGCAACAAAAAACCTTTCCAAGCTAGTTCTGTCACATGTGTTAGCCTGGCACATGGACATCTTGGACATGTTGTTATGGGAACACAAAAGCAAATGACAAGGACCATGACCCACCAGACTGTTCAGTGTGTGTCACTTAGGGACTTCATGAGATACAAAAAGGCTAAAGCTGTATAAGGAACTTTCCAGAACATTTAAAGTTCAAGTGACAACTGTGTCTAAGCAATTATGTCTGCCTTCCGTGTTGCACCATGAGGACCCACTGATATAAAATGCTTAACTGTCTAAGTTGCAACCATGCACTTTTTGGAGGGCTAAGCGCCAGCTTGACATATTTTTGGCTTCATTTATAGAAGGAAAGACAACAGTGATAGTTATGTTTCAGAATAACATTTATTGGAAACTGTTAGAACAATCTCACTGGTCACTGGCTTGAGCTTCAATCTCAGGATCCATGTATTTGTAATCAAAAGTAGGCTAATATAAAAGTAGTGTAAGTCATTACATTTCAGAGAGAGTAATATTGTAATGTAACGTAGCCTATTACTTAAAAAAGACAGTAATAAGTAATGTACTGTATTACATTTTGGAAGTAACTTGCCCAACACTGCAGATGATCCAGTCATCTCGATGCTGCTTTCGGGCTGTGAATAAACAACTTGTGTTTTACTTTTAGGCTGTCTGAAGGTATGGACAGCTATCAAAGCTACTATACATCACATTAAGAACGATGTACAAATGTTTTATATGTATTCAACTTGTGCCCCGCTGGACTTACGTTTCTGTGGTTGACCGTTACTGTGACATATCAGTATAGCCACGGAAGATAGTTTGTGTGTTTCATTCCCATGCATCAAGGTTATTTTCATGTATGTAATTGTTTTTCCTGCAGAATGTAGAGTCTTGTTGTGATGAGAAGGATACAGGTATTTCATTAAAAAAACGTGCTCCCTGGAGAATAGCTACAGCATTTATATTACAATTTAATCGGAGCTGATCACAACTTGTCATGAGTGATCCAGTCATGTCGATGAGCGTTCGGGCTGTGATTAAACGACTTGTGTTTTACTTTTAGGCTGTCTGAAGGTATGGACAGCTATCAGAGCTACTATACATCACATTAAGAACGATGTACAAATGAAAGTCGGACACAAATATATAATTTAAATGATTTATTCAAGTTTGCAATATTTTGAACAGGCATCCACACAGTCACCTACTTTGTAATGTTTGATACCTCCCTGTAAGCGTCACGATATCCACCTCTCACCCACAACCTCACATACGAGTACTGAATGTGCATCAAAGTGATTTTAGAAAGGCAGATATAGCAAAAGATGAACGTAAACGACAAACGAGGCGATCAACATGGTAAGTCAACAATGGGTCCTCAATGTCCACGCCCCGGATTCCTATGACGAAAATAATAGAATGTCGACAGTTGTCATGACTCACGTTATACTGCAACACCGGTGTTCTCAGCAGTACTCCGGAGATAGAACGAGCCCACCGCTCCCTGGGTCCCAGACCGGGAGACTCCAACAACACGGGGAAACCTCGGGCCTTCATTGTAAAATTCCTCCGTTTCCAGGAAAAAGAAGCAGTCTTAAGATGGGCCAGACAACACAAGCTGGATTACGGCGGCACCGAGTTGAGAGTTTATCCTGATATCAGCTCCGTCCTAGCCAAAAGGCGAGCTGCGTTCATCCCCATCAAGAATTATCTTTACCAGAAAGGAATACAATTCCGCCTGTTGCACCCAGCTCGTCTTCGTGTTTCCTTTAGAAATGACGACTACTACTTTGACTGTCCGCAAAAAGCCCAGGACTTCTACATCCAACGCATTGTCCCGCCGGAGTAGTGGGAGGCTGTGGAGCACGGACTTTCTCTGGACTGAATGCACGGCAAATAAACACTCACAAACGGACATCTCAGGAAACGGTGAAGTTGAAATGTTTAACCTGAGTCTGTTTGTATTAAGATATCCTGATATGGATCCACCGTGAGGTATGGATGGATGTTGTTATCCAGCATGTGCACTAGCTTTTCTCTGTTGTTGTGTGATGTTTACTATGGCCACTTCCGGTGTTACCGTTTAACTGGTTACACCCATGGATGTATAATAAGAACTGGATACAGCGTGGGAGGCGGGGCCTCATTCATTCCTATGAGAGTTGCTCATTGGCGCATGATGATAAAATGGCCCAACTTTTGAGAGAGCGAAACGTCACAGATTACCCAGCATGCCTAATAAGTACCCGTATGTGCGCTCGTAGCGCATGCGCAACTTTAACCAAAATGCTCGTTCACATCAAGCACGTCAATTTGCGTACACGTAACAGCACCGCACGTTCATGACAGCATGGTAATGATTTGTTATTATGATGGATTTGATAATAACGAGGCGGCAGTTAGCAGCTAGCGGCTAGCTAGTCATTATGCTAATGTACACATAAATCGTTATGTACTTATATTACGCTGTAACAGGATCTAGTGATATCCAAGCAACAGAGCTTCATTTATCATGAAATAATTATTGCATATATATACACACACACAGTGCAATACGAAGCTACAGGGACGTTAATAATGTCGGTAATATTAACTTTATTTAATACAACATTTACGGTACAAGATTTAATCATACAGCCCATGTAGTATGATAATGAATTACAGCAAACATGTGCAATATATCCATTATTACAGCTCCGTGGGATGGCAGTAAGACGATATGGGTCCGTTCTTATTGTGCATCCATGGGTAAAGATAAACGCAACTCACATTGGTTTTTCAAACACCATCTATGTAAACTACGTGTATTCACTGAATTTCACTCTGCCTTTAACGGCTCGTTGTAGCTCCAATAGCTCCAGCCCCCACCCTTCCTGTGAGCACAGTGTGCTCTGATTGGTCGGGACACGTAACATGAACGTGCCGGGCGGCGCAGTCCCATGGGTTAGATGCGCGTTCATAATGCAGAGGGAAATAACTCTCAGAATAACGTTATTAGCACATTATTACAACTTGAGGAACGAATGTTTTTAATAAGGGCTATACAAGTGTTCATACTGGGTAGTTTATTTAGTTTAAAAAAAATTATCCAATGATTTACAGACCACTCTTTCCCCATGTAAGTCAATGGGAAAAAGTGTTTCCGGGCCTGGCAACCAAACGGAAGTGTAGTACCGCCGTTTGGCCAGCACGAATATTTTCATCTGAGTCCGGCGCACTTCCTGGGGGCTTGGTTACACCGGGGAACTCGTTACGTTACGTTAACGGTAGGAATGGGGCGTGTACTTTGAGGAGCCATTGTCGAATAACCAGGAATACACATTTCGATCGCTTCTTTTGTTGTTTACATTTATCTTTTGGTATATTTGGCTCCATAGGAACACTTTGATGCACATTCAGTACCAGTGTGTGAGGTTGTGGTTGCGATGCCGATATCTGGACGCGTACAGCGAGGACTACAAAATGACAATGAGGTGACTGGGGATGTCTGTTCAAAACATTGCAAACGTGAATAAATCATTTCAAATATGTTATTTGTCTCCGACTTTCATTTGTACATCGTTGTTAATGTGATGTTTAGTAGCTTTGATAGCTGTCCATACCTCCAGACAGCCTAAAAGTAAGACACAAGTTGTTTACTCACAGCCCGAATGCAGCATCGAGATCCGTGGCCAGCTGTGATCCTCTCCGATTAACTTGTGACAGGACTTCTTTAGCTATTCTCCAGCGAGCAAGGTTTTTATTAAATACCTCCATCCCTCTCATCACAACAAGACTCTACACTGTGCAGAAAAAAAACAACATAAATGAAATAACCTTGCTGGATAGCTTAGAATGAAACAAACAAACTATCTTCCATGGCTGACACTGATGTCACAGTAACGGCTAAACCACAGACAAGTCCAGCGGGGGGGCACAAGTTGAATCCATATAATGAAATTGTTATTTTATATATATATATATATATATATATATATATATATGTATATACTTGATATATATTTATATGTATTTCTATCCTACATTGTCTAGGCTATATAAACCGGCGGAAGTGTCACAACTTTCTTGGTTTGTGATTATAGAGAGAGAGAGATAGCGACAGAGAGATACTGTAGAGATAGACATAGAGAAATATCGTGTGAGAAATATCGTGTGTGTGTGTGTGTGTGTGTGTGTGTGTGTGTGTGTGTGTGTGCGTGTGTGTGTGTGTTGCATGCATGTAGCAGGTTCTGTGTGTAAACTGCCCCACCCCCTCGCACACCGATAGGGGAGAGAGATCTCGTCTGGATTGTAAAGATCGAAAATAAATCATAGACGCACTTTGTAGTCTTATTGCATATTAGAAACGGAGTTGCAGTAAGACTGCGATATAATGTTTATGTAGATATAATACATGTGACATCTATTTTTTAAATGTCTCCCGTAACGATAAAAAGATTGATAACATTGGACGTTAACGGTACCACGGTCTTTAATAATTCAGCCCCGGGGCCCCGTTAATACTGGGGCTCGGTACCCATCCCTAGTTTTAATTATTACATCATCAATATTACATTTCAAATAACCAAGTACTTGGTTACCAACACAAAGCGCAAGTGGCTAGTGCTGCTAAGAACATACCTGGTGATGGTGATGATGGTGGCTCTTCGCTGCAGGATCTGGTCGTTGTCCTCCTAGCAGAAGCGATTGCCTTCGTCGTTCTCGTCCATGATGGCGGCGTAGGCTCCTTTCCTCAGCAGGTCCTCGATCTCCTTCTTGGAGAACTGCTGGACCGAACTAAAGGCGACGCAGAGAGACATTTACACAAGTGGATTTAGAAAACTCTTTTTGAAAATAAACTAAGCGTACTGCAACAGCGACTGACCCAAAAATGACTTGGCATCTAGAAATATGACAGATTTCACCCCGTTGTTGTTGCCACTCATGCTCTGCAGGACGGGACGGTCCAGCCCGAGCTTCAGACTAGCTTTATCCAGCATTTTCCTCTCATAGTTTCTAGTGATCAGACGGTACACCTCCACCGCCTTAGACTGGCCAAAACAATGACGAACCGAGCTTGAGCCTGAAATAAAAAATTAAAAGAGGGGTCAAAAGAGCATCATGTGCAGCCGCTGTTCAACGTTTTTAAGCATTAAATGGGAAAATAATATACACTTAAAGAACCGAGGGAACAGAGCAGATATATATATATATATATATATATATATATATATATATATATTGTACCTGCAGGTCATTTTGAGGGTTCCAGTCAGAGTGGAATATCACACAGGTGTCTGCAGCAGTGAGGTTCACAAGCTCTTGATCAGGTGTTTGATGTGGGCTGGCATGATCCTTTCTGCAGCGATGAATAAAGAAAACAAAGAAGACATTATTAATAATAGTAACAACAATAATATTAGTATAACTATTTATATAGCACTTACACAATAATTGCAAGTGATTCTCACAACAAAAATAAAGAACAAAACAATAAAAAAACTAATTATTATAGGAATGTTAAAATACAAATAAATGATAAACATTCTGAGAGGCCGACTACAAAAGGTAGACTCAGACCCCGGCCACACGAGGACGAAAACGGCTAAACGCATAGGATTAACGCAAACGCAAACGCAAACAAGCTTCCGTCCACACGCAATAGTTATCCGGATAGTGTCTGCCCACACGAGACAGCTCCGTTTAGCTCCAACCGCTGGAGAAGCTGCAGTACATATGAAGGAGCCTGTACGTGGCGCTGTAACTTCCTCCACAAAAGCAGCGAAGAAGCATGGTTGACATGGTTGCCCTTCTGTTTATTCTCCGCGGTGGGGGCCGAGGGAACCGGGCAGAGTTTTTCGCCAGTCAACGTGTATTAAAGTTTAAACCTTCCGACAAAATTATAAAAGTGCCGGTCAAAGGTCTTCTTTGTTATTTATTGAGCTTTAAAACAAATGAATAACGACTCTATATAATATAATAATAAAAATACACGGAGCCTCTCTTTTTCCTCCCTCTCTTCGGACAGCGTCAGTGTCTGTTTCATGCAGCAGCTGATCCAGTAATGAGTGACCCGGCCGACAGTAAAAATAAACATATTTATAACTAGGTAGTTTGAGAGGTGTCTCCGTCCTGTCAGATTAGACTTCACTCGCGTTTATGTCCATATCGAGAGAAAGATAAATAATCTGAATTCAGTGTGCAGTTTACTTTGACGCGGGGGTGAGCAGCAGAGGTGGGGAGAGGCGGGGCTATTGCGCAATCATTATCAGAAAATGATCGCTGAAGCTGCAGTACATATCCACAAAAGCAGCGAGTAAGATCCCCCCCGGATGTGTAAGTCTGCTGTAGATGTTACACAAAGAACTGTAGCATGGTCAGTAGCGTCCGGAGCACGATAGCAACTCTGCGATCCGCCATTGTTGTTGTTGTTGGTGGCGAAACACATCAGCAATGGCGCGGGGTACGCGGAGGTGAGCAGCAGAGGTGGGGAGAGGCGGGGCTATTGCGCAATCATTATCAGAAAATGATCGTATAGGGCGTACACACGGAGCTGTTCTATCCACCTTGGGACCCGTTATCGTTTCCTCAGTCGTTTAGTGCCGTATGCGGTCGTCCTCGTGTGGCCGAATGGTCTATATGACACTAAACAGTAACGCAAACGGCCGTTTTTGTCCTCGTGTGGCTGCAGCCTCAATGGCTCTTGATGACATCAATGAGCAGTCCCAAAACATGCTGCTGTATAAAAAGAAATAGGTCCAGATTTCTTCTATTTAGTGTTGGATGATTTGTTGTATTGATTGCTGATGGATGTTATGATATCTTTTACAATTATAACAAAAAGATTATTGTAATTGGAATCAAAAAGTTTACAAATCGTAGTTTTAATAAAATGACTAGCAATATAGGATTTATTCAACAGCGGTAAAGTATTAAGTTACTAAATTAACGTACACTGAACTGTAAAACTTACCACTATTTAGGAAAGGACCTGATCAGAAGGATTGACTAGTAAGACAGCAAAGAGGCGGAGGAGGTCTCTGTCATGTACAACCATTGGTAGATGTTACACCTGAAAGAAAGATAAGGAAATAAGACAACACAGGAGGACAAACATCTTCTTAAGTAAAAGACCAAATCATGTCAAGCTTTAACTTGAGGCTGTTTTTTCAGTCTTTACAATGCACAGTTGGAAATTACATTCCAAAAGCTAAATTCAAACTCAACACCATAAATAACTGGGTACCAAAGTGCTTTACCTGATAGCACACGTTCCACACGGAGCATCTCCTCCCTCTCCACTGTTTCCAGTAGATCTCTACTGCCTGTCCAATAAAACTGAAATGCCCCAAAACAATCATATTTCAAAAGTTAAAAACAATAACTTGCTTTTGGCATTCAAATGTATTATAATCTCACCTTGTTCCTGGATGTCAGGAAGACGTTCCCTTCAAGTCCGCAACCAGTCATAGGAGTTCAAATGCAAAGCCTGAAAGAGGACAAGAGCGGGAGACTTACATGTTACAAAATAAGTAATACCAGAGCAGTGTTTAGGACATGCAGAGAACAGATCAAATCCCCTGACAGGCTCACACACTTTGGTGATGTCCTCATCTGATGATGATGTTTCATTTTTAGCAGCAAAGTAACATTACTCAAGGTATATGTTGGACCCAACTCATGTACAGTATGTTTTGCATCTCCTCAACAATGGTCTGTATAGTTGAGTAGAAACAAACTGTCCCTACAGTTTCAGGTAGATTAACAAAGAAAAGTTTGCAATGAAGCACAAAACCCCTCTTTGTATTAAGCTAGCTGCCACAAAAAGTACAGCTTAACATGCTAACCTGGTGGAGTTAGCTAACGTTAGCTAACTTCATGTCCAACACAAAACCTCTAACGTGCATTACATTGACGATTTTAAACACAACTTAACTCTCTCAACTTGTAAAATAACGTTAATTTAACATACCCTTAAATAACTACATCACGTTTTTCAGGGGCAACACAAACTGCAGAAAACGTTAGCTGCTAACTGTTGTTAGCTAAGACAGCTAGCTCGTAACGATAGCCTCCTAGCAAACGTAAAGTTACGTTAACATTAACTTAACGTTGTAAGAAAGCAAAACGAACCTTCGAGACATATTTTACTCTCAGACTGGGTGTAATTGTGTAGCGTTGCTTACCTCCAGAAGGACTTTTAGCTGTTTCCCAGTAGAGACTAGAGAGAGCTGTCAGAGCGGTTGCTCTCAGAAGAGCAGCATTGGGCGGACCAGATAAGACCAGAGAAGACCAGAGAAGAACCAGTTAAGTCTTGGAGCCCACCGACGTCTTCCATGTTGTTATTTTCATTGAGTAGTTTGCCTTATTGTCCTTCTCCTCCATTTTCTTCCTCTTCTCGAGTAGTCAGTGTGGTGCTGTTGCTTTGGTCTGGGTCTCTGGACCTGTGAGCTAACCACGCCCCGTTCATTTGCATATAAGGAATGGAAATGGCTGCTTCTCAGGTCGATTAAATGAAATCCTTGCTTCCCTCACTTCCGTCGTTTCCCTGCGTTTAGTCCCTCCCACCAGGGAAGCATGGAGGGACGCAAGGAAACCACGAGAAGCAGGGAAATGAGTTTTAAGAGCAATGGGACGTCCTTTCCTCTGGAGCGTCACGTGAAGCGACGTCCGTTTGTGATGACGCTGCACAGCTGATCGTCTGACAGCAGCTCTGTCCCCGTTATTTCCACACACACCCCCGCCTCTGTTAGTACACATTTACTGACACAAACATTTGTATCATCTGTTGTAGACCCAAATAAATAAAATAAAATAAGAACTCATTGTCAAAAAAGATAAACGCCATTCTTAAAATGTATAAACGAACAATAGTTTGATTAATATTGATTAGAGTGCACAATAGAAATAAAATAATTGAGAGAAGAAAAAGAGATATGTTATCTATCAAAACTCAGTTAGATTAACATTCATTGGATTGCACACTTTGTTTGTTTGTTTGGATATGTAGCACATTAACATTTTAATAGCACTTAATGACTGACTGAATGGAAATGACAATAAATGAAAATGTAAAACGAAAAAAGCGATCATGAAAATGTTTCCAAAAAATGAATTAAATGATTTTTGACCACTTTGTTGTTCAGATATATCACATATTTGTAACTAAATGATACATGAATTGAAACAAAACACGGTATAAACTGAGGAGTGACTCCCGTGAGGTTCATGTATTTTCTTCACTCTGCTCTCATGTCAAGAAGCATCAGATCAGCGCATGCACTGCCTCGTCCAATCAGTGAGCGATACACAGTAAGGGGGCGGGGTGAGTATCTGAGGATTTCATCGGAGGATGGTCTGGTGGTTCCTCGGTTATCGCTCCTCCATGATCGCTCCTCGCTCCTCGATCCTCGGTCCTCCGGCAGAAATAAGAGCCATGGGACGGTACTCAAGATGGCGCGGGCAAATCAACTTCCGGTGAGACCGAGGACCGAGGAGCGAGGAAATGAAAATAGTCGACCTGAGAAGCAGCCAATGTCTCATCATGAAATACAAGTCACATGAAATAAAGAAACGCGTCATTATGAAATACAAGTCATCTGAAATAAATAAATATGTCATTATGAAATACGAGTCTCTTGAAATAAATAAATGTGTCATTATGAAATACAAGTCTCTTGAAATAAATAAATGTGTCATTATGAAATACAAGTCTCTTGAAATAAATAAATGTGTCATTATGAAATAAAAGTCCAATGAAATAAATAAATGTGTATTTAAATGTACATGTATACATATTTATTGCCTAATTTATTTATTTTATAATTTATTTCATAGGCATATTTATATATATATATGTATTTATTTAATTATTTATGTATATATTTATTTATTTAATATTGGCTTAAATGGCATTGCATACATACCAGTTATGTGCACCCCTGTACTACAGCAAAAGTATTCTCCGTCGGGACTACCTGCAACAACACCACGCCGTTATCAAAGATGTTCTATTGAGAAGACGATCACTACGTGACAAAAGTTTTCAAAACCGTGGCTACTGAAATCAATCTTACTAACTGCTGTCTGTGCAATTTACTCCGCGCGAGTTGGCAGACTTTATTTTGCTTACTTTAACATCATTTTTCATGGTGGGGCTAAGCCATTTCTTGGTATGGGTGCAGTGGCGTTTTTATATGTACACAAGTGGTGGGGCACAAAAAACTTAGATGTCTATATATAAGCTTCTGAGGTTCATGGCTGGTGAGGCTCTGACTCTTCAGGTTTACAAATATTATATTTTGACCTAAATCAAAATATAATAATATTTTCAAAAGCTTTTTTTGTCTGATGCTTCAATTAATTTTAAACAGACAGTTCAACAAAAGGATACCCAAAAAATGTAATTTTATCATTTAAATATTGAATTGTTCTCTCTTAGTAAGATCCCATTTTCAATAAAATTGCAGTCTTACCTTGACATGAAGATGAAGTCCATTTGCCTATCCTTCTGGACAACAATCTCTATTACTTTTTTGTAAAAGTCCTCCTTATGTTCTTGTAGTTTCAAAAGTCTATCATAAATCTGATCTAATCAATAGATTTATGATTCGAAAATTATAAAAGTAGGGTAGACATGTGGATATTATCCGGCTGAACAAAACGTGCATTTATCTAACAGGTTTGTTTCCCACAGACCTTATTTTGAGCTATTTTCTAAAATCCTATGGAGAAATATCATTGCTTTTTTGTGGAGGGAAGCCATGCGCAGTTTATTTCCGGGTTTTAGGACGCCTCACTGCAGCTCTCTCTCCTCCTCTTCACACACCACACTTTTCGCGGCACACGTACTTACAGCCAATCAGCTCTGAATTATGTGAGATGACGTATGGTGGGGATGGCAGCACTATGCCCCTATTGTCATTATTTTTTTGCCACACACATTAAATAGGACAATACTCTGAGCATGCGCAGTGTAGTTTTTACAGTCACCATTGACTTAAACAGGGAGAGGGAGGGGCAGGATCGGGTTTTGTCCCACATGGCTCAAAACAGCTCAATAGGCACACACTGTAGACACTAATTAGAAGAACACAGACTAAAACAGCAATGTACAGACGAATCAGATGATTAAACATGATCTTAAAATATATGATATTTTTTTTTTTTTTTTTTTTTTTGCATTTTTTTGTAATCATTACTTTTAATACTTTCTGCTGACACTAGGTGGGGCTGTGCCCCACCTGCCCCTAATGACCAGTCGCCACTGTATGGGTGTAGCCTACCCCAGCCATACCCTGGCGCTGCCACTGGTGGCACGTATGGGGCGGGCCATTCTGCACATGCGTTACGCAATTAATTCAAAAAATTAATTACCGCCGTTAACGCGATAATTTTGACAGCACTAGTTTATACATTCCTGTGTGTTAATAGTTGAAGGAAAAAAGTACATTTTTCCTCTTAAATATAGAGAGGTTTTTTATAGATTCCTGAAACAATGTTCCCTTTTTCTTAAAAGTAGATTAGCGCAATAGTCTTTTTCTTTCACTTTTACCCTTTTTATCAAAAGGGTGTTTTTAGGCTATTTTTGAGGAGGTAAAATGCAGAATTACTTGTGAGTTCTGTTTTGAGTGAAAAGATTACCCCTTTGAGTGTTGTTCTTGGTTAACCATTAATAGGCTTTGCAAATTAACAAGAGAACTGCGAAGGACATTTTCCCCAGATATAATGGTTAAATTCTTCTTAAGTTAATGATGCGCATCCTGCAGGCCTTGAGAATTGAGTCACACAGTTAAGAGAGACAATGGTCCTTCTGATTCTGGGTAAACTGACTTCGGGTGGATGGAAGTTCAGAGAGGGCCTGGAGGTATGAAGACAGTTACGTTTTGTTGGATAGCTGGTCTTGAGGAGGTCATGAGATGATGACTGTTACATTTCCAACAAGTATGGCTTTCATAAAGAAACACATATGACTTGTGTGATAAGCTACATGATAAGATGTGTTTTGCTGCAAACTGAGCCTGTTTGGTTCTCTGCTGGCACGCGTTGATTCACTGTGACACAGCATCTTTTGCATCTCCCAATGAGATGACCTGAAAAGATGACCAGCTGACCTAACCTAACCCCTCCTGTTTTATTCTTGTATA